GCCACCAATTTGGGGCTCCACTTGTACAAAGGGCTCCACTTTGTTTGTGTATGTCTGGTCTACAGGCTCCACTTCTACGTCTACACCAACACACACACACACACACACACACACACACACCCACACACACACACACACACACAGCAATACTTACCACTTGCATTATTAATTTGGCTACTGACAGTGCTAACTGGTTTCCAAGTCGATTGCTGTGATGTGATTATTTGTATTGGTGTTGTACCCTGGTACGTGGAAACTTTAGTCTCAGGCTGTGTAAACATAGCAGTTGTTTTATTCTGTATATCATGAGTAGTTATACTAATTCTGGCTGTTGTTGGTAGCGGTGGCTCAAGTGTAGTGTACGATGCCTCATCTTAATAATACACAACACAAAACGATTGTTAGATGATCATATGTGCAAAAAAATAAATATTTAGTCCTAGCAATCTCCCCATAAAACTTGTTATGGGATCGGTGGGATCCAGTTCACTAACAATGGCGGTGGCACCTGGGGGGGGGGGGTCCAAGTCAAGCTGAAACCTATTGTGTAATCAAAATGTGCCCATCATAATGCAGAAAATAGCGTTTGAGAGGGTCTATAGTTATACATACATCATGTTAACAAACATCACCACGCCCATATTTTAGAAACCACGCCACTTTTTCAAAATCTATAACTCGATGTTCAATTAAAAAAGGTATTACCTCCCTTGTCCACAAAACTATATATTTTCAAAAAGCTTATTGTATGAATTTTAAAATTTTGTTAGTATTTTATTCTATGGACACTGTAGTTTGAAATATGCACAAAAATGTGCTTTTTGGTCAAAAGTGATTTAAAAAAATTAGCTTCTAAACCATGCTTTTATTTCCTGTCAAAATTGGTTTATGGGTACATCTGTTTACTATGAAAAAAGTACCGCTTGAAAACTGTCTACCAGTTGTCAATTTTGCAGGGCAGCAGCTCAAATTTCACTACTTCAAGTTCATGCATAAATTAACACCCAGGCTAGTTGTCTGTACGATTGTTGTAACACTGTTCAACCAAAAACAATGCCCGACGGCGTTTCGAAGATAAACACATTGTCAATCATTTGTGAAAATTTCAAAACAAAAGGTCAAAGCGTCTAGGAGCTATTTTTGTTTAAAGTTCTAGGATGTGCACTAAAAAGAAGCTGAAATAATTGCTAATTTGCATAAGAATTCACTCAGTAAGAAGTTTGCTATTGCTCATAATTAAAATGGCTGTAACAGTTCCAAATTTGAATGTGTTATCGTTTTGTTAAAAGTTAAATATAGTGCATAATATGGAGATCCCGTCATTTCTTTTTTTCACTATGTTTATTATTTA